CTTCATGTACACGGGCACCATCCGTGTGAGCCCCGGCAACGTCCACGAGGTGCTGGAGATGGCGGACAGGTGAGCGCGGGCCGGGCAGGCCGCCCGCCGGCCCCGCCGTGCCTCACGCCCATGCCTTTCTCCGCAGGTTCCTGCTCACGCGGCTCAAGGAGTTCTGCGGGGAGTTCCTCAAGAAGAAGCTCAACCTCTCCAACTGCGTGGCGGTGCACAGCCTGGCCCACATGTACTCCCTCAACCAGCTGGCCCTCAAAGCGCAGGACATGATCCGCAGGAACTTCCACAGGGTGATCCAGGACGAGGAGTTCTACACGCTGCCCTTCCACCTGCTCAGGGACTGGCTCTCGGACTCGGAGATCACCGTGGACTCGGAAGAAATCCTCTTTGAGACCGTCCTGAAGTGGGTGCAGAAGAATCCCAACGAAAGGGAGAGGTACTTTGAGGAGCTCTTCAAGCTGCTTAGGCTGTCGCAGATGAAGCCCACGTACCTCACTCGCCACGTCAAAGCCGAGAGGTTGGTCTCCAGCAACGAAGCCTGCGTCAAGCTCGTGTCCGAAGCCGTGGAAAGCCACGCGCTGCGCTCGGAGAACCTGCAGTCCGGGAATCTGCAGCATTCCACTTGTCCTCTAGCATCGCTGCCTCGCTTCGGGCAGAACATGGACGTGATCATGGTGATCGGCGGCGTGTCGGAGGGAGGCGATTACCTGAGCGAGTGCGTGGGGTATTTCCTGGACGAGGACAGGTGGGTGAACCTGCCGCACATCCACAATCACCTCGACGGGCACGCGGTCGCCGTTACAGAGTCTTACGTTTACGTGGCGGGCTCCATGGAACCCGGGTTTGCCAAGACCGTTGAGAGGTACAATCCAAACAGAAATATTTGGGAGCAAGTCTCGAATTTAATAACCAGAAAACACTCTTTTGGCCTTACTGAAGTGAAAGGAAACTTGTACAGTATCGGTGGACATGGCAATTTCAGTCCAGGCTTTAAAGATGTAGCCATTTATAATCCTGAGGAAGACAAATGGCTTAACCTGGAGTCGGCACCGAAGATTCTGCGCGATGTCAAGGCCGTTTCTGTAGAAGATCGGTTCGTTTACGTTGCTGCCCGTACCCCCGTCGACAGCGACAGCGAAGATGGGTTGAAGGCCGTTATCATCAGATACGACGCAGAAACGCGGCAGTGGCAAGACGTGGAGTCTCTGCCCCTCATTGATAACTACTGCTCCTTCCAGATGTCTGTTGCTAACACAAACTTCTACCATACCGCGTCCTGCTGCCCCAAGAGCTACCCGATCGATAACGAGGAAGCGAAGCTGAAGATTTCGGGCAGGGCCTCGGACGAAATCCTGGAAAGTTTACCCCCCGAGGTCCTGAGCATCGAAGGGGCAGCCATCTGTTACTACAAGGACGACGTTTTCATCATCGGGGGGTGGAAGAACAGCGACGACATCGACAAGCAGTACAGGAAGGAGGCGTATCGGTACTGCGCCGAGAGGAAGCGCTGGATGCTGCTGCCCCCGATGCCGCAGCCGCGCTGCAGGGCCACGGCCTGCCACGTGCGCATCCCCTTCAGGTGCCTGCAGGGAACCCAGAGGTACCCCATGCCGCAGAACCTCATGTGGCAGAAAGACAGGATAAGGCAGATGCAGGAAAGGCAGATGCAGGAAATCCACAGACACTTTCTAAGCTTACGAAGAATGCCGCGCTCGCAGATCGAGTGCTAGTTTCTGCAGGATCACTCCTGGTCGGTCTGATTTAACACATGTACTAAGCCGTTTTGGAGGCTTGATATGTTTCTGTAAGATACTAGCATTTGATTGGGTTTGATGCATGAAAACAGCATCTCTTTATTAAATTTTGAAAATTAAGAAGCTCAGAAGTTGAGGATGGGCAGCAAGTAAGAAACCCTCTGAATCCAATATATTGCCTGTTGTGCCCAGAGAAAAGCTGGTTTCCTATTAATGGGCTGTGAAATATCTCCAGGAACATGAAATCTGTTAATTCTCTCTTCAGATCTTTGTTTTCAAAGATTTATGTAGAGTTTGTCTAACAGTTCAGTTTTGAAAATCAAAAATCTCTAAATAATTTAGTGGTTACATTTGCGTGCGTGCTGAAAGCACCTGTTTTATTTGCACTTCGATACTGACATTCCTTTGATTCCCTCCTCAGTGGTAAACTTCACGTGTCTCCCAGGTGTCAGTGCACTTGGCTTTCCCAAGTTGGAAGCATGTGCAGTGGTTAAATATCTGTTATGAAAACAAAAGCACAATCTTTCCTTATAAAATTAGTTCAGAATGTTTCTCTATATTAAATATATATATCAAGTGTATATATATTTAATATGTAGCATAGCAAGTCTGCAGAGTTTGCCTGTAAACAGATGGTGGATAGAACATCAGACACTTGCTAAAATTGAGAGCTTGAGGCAGTAGATTTTTCCAGGTGTATCTGGAGATGTCTTTGACAGCTTCATTAGAAACATGGTCAAAAATCATGGTGAAAAGAGTAAAACCAGGCAAGTAGCCACCTGCCAAAGCAGAGCACTCGCTTCTGGGGTCAGAGTGGAATAATGAGAGCAGGATTATTCCCAGTAATATGTTAAAGCCAAGCAGCTTGTAGATCCTTTCTCAAATGTTGCAGGCCTTTAATTCCAGTGAGGACGTGACTAAAGGAGCCCCGTGGAGCTGTTCCCAGCCTGTCCCTGACAATCAGCACTTTCTGCCTCCGGTGTGTTTTCCCTGGAAGCTCGGGGTAGCCGCGTGCTGCTCCGCGCGTCAGCGCGTCGCGTTTCTCTCGAAGGGGGCACTGCCTCTTGGGGATGATTTTAGAGGCATCCGAGTCCTCCGTCTCTATCTGCGTTGCCCGCTTAGCGTGTAGGGTTTATCTCGTGGTGACATGGAGCTATTTAAGTATTTTGGGGGGCTTTGAGGTGGTTTTCTCTACACGGGAACCCCGTTGGGCTCTGCTTTGCTTGCTGTGCTGCTCGCAAGGAGCGAGTGTCCCCTTCGGAGTGTCAGTGTCACTGCTGAGCGCTCCTCCCCGCTCCGAGGAGCTCCGGGAGCCTTTGGCTGCCTGTGGATTCAGCGCTTCCCTCCTACCTCCTGTTCTTCCCCATCCTTCCCTCTATTCGAATGTTCCAGGTTTTCGCTTGCAGCCTAACTCAGGATCTTAGGGAAGGGAAAGGGAGGAATAACCAGGGTGTTTCAAAACTTGTGTGGATGAACATTGGAAAAGCTGTTTGCTGTCTGATTCATGTGATAATTTGCTGGGGCCTTTGATGTGGGCAGCTGCTTTGCAGAACATCTTCTAAACTTTTGTTATTATTATTGTTTAGCTTTGTGAACTGATACTTCTTATTTTCCAATTCAGCAGGCAACCTAGATCATATCTGAAACACTGGGTAAGTCTTTCAACCACAGAATTTGTACAGGTTTCTCTAACGTGTATGTCCTGGAATGCTCCACTTTGCAGTTCACTTGACACTGATATCAATAACTTGCCTTGTAATAGAATAATCTAGCCTTGTTGTTTTTTATCTTGAAAATCTAACAGTTTAGTGTCAGTTTACTCATCTCTAGTAACCTTGTTTGGTTTTATTTGCCTGTTGGATTGCTGTGCGAGGGCAGATTCAATTTTGTGAGGCTGGCCTAACGCAAGAGAGGAAATGGGGAAACTCGTTGGGGTTTCAGGCTGATGTTCAGAGGTGGCTCTTGCTAAATGGCCTGCGTGAGCCCACGGCTGCGGTGGTCATTGGTTGAGCTTGGCACATGGAGGAGTTCCTGCACCTTTGGCTGGAGCAGTTTGAGAACTACTGCCCCAATCACACAGTTGGTGAATGAAATGTATGAAAAAGCCTCACGGCTTCATTCCAGAATCCACTGATTTGACCTAAACTTCCAGAGCTGAATTTAAGATACTTTACCAGGCTCCACACAGCAGCAGCTGAGGAGAGGTCACGTATTTCATCCCCCTGACTTTCCTCTGAGTTTTTAACCAACAGTTGAAGGATGCTGGTACGTGAGACCATCAAAGCCCTGGGTGGGCAGCGTGCTAATAAACGGTGAACACTTTGCAGGGGGAAACATCAAGATTATTATTTCAATTGGAATATGAGCTCATTCGTTTCAAGCAGGGCAGTGTGCCGTGACGTTAGAGATGTGAGAAGCCTTTTGCAGTCTTTTTTTCTAAGCAGAGTTGGTATTTGCACTTACTGTGAGAACCTGTGGCTATCATACAAGCTGTGTAGATTACTAAATACATTCCACTGATGCCAGAACTGATGTGAAAGGAACTCACAGCTGGGCGAATGCCCGTCGTGGTTCTGAGCATCCTGCACTGTATCTCTCCCTGTACCTCCTCTCTGCATGAGCAGTGTGAACATAATCAGTTTGCTCTACCTTTTGCCATGCCAATTCCCTGGAATCTTTAAGTAGGTGGGTGTTTTGCCCTGACTTTAAGTGGACCAATTGCATTGTGCACAGTTCTGAGTCCTGACTATCCATTGAATCACGAGATGTTCAGAAAAGCTGAATTACTGACAGTGGGAGTTAGCCCTCTCGCCTGTGAATCACGTAACAAGCTCCCCGTGGCCCCTGCCTGCTGTAACTTGCTGAGTATTTATAAAATGCACCCAGAAGCAAAAGCCTGTGAGTTCTTTCCCTGTCTTTAGCGTCTAGTTCAATGTCACCAAGATCCTCGTGTGTATTCAGCAAGTCCAAGGCAGCCTTGGCCCTTCCTCGTGTACAAGGAGCTGGAGGTTGCTCCTCCTTACGACAATCATACATGTAACTACAAAACCAGTGTCATGAAATGCATGTTTCCTATCCCGTCTTTCTGTTCAGAAGCGGAGTGACGTAGGACACATCCTGCATGAGGCTGGTAATGTAATCATTTCTAGGTGCCATATATGTACATAATATTTTATATCAACCTCAATACTCCGTTAGTTTACTGTTTTTGTATGTATTTTTTAACAAGCTCTCTTCTTGCACATAGTAAGATACTGCTCTGGAAATACAGAAAATATGCCAATTTTCTAAGCATGCATTCTGAATATTATTCCAAGTATTCTGCTGTGCTGTATCATTTCTTCTCCGTTACCATAAATGTTAAGGTCAGAACTGTCGCCTCGACGTTGTGTCATAGAACAGCTCGATCACTATTGTCAAACCAAGTCACAACAAATAACAAATTTTCAAAGGTTATTTTTAATTTGACATCGTAATAGGATGTTGTGGCTTTCAGTGGGCTTACAAAACAAGCTGAAAATGGGTGTTTTAAGGCTTAAATTTGTTTTCAGCTATATCCTTGTATTAGAAGATCTCATCTTTCATGTCCTAAGTGGAAGTCTGCTCATACAGGTACTCCTGAGGATCGAATCCTGTTATTAATCTGAATGTAAAATATAGAATTAACTAGCTGTGTGAAGACGGTTACTAGTGAGATGCTCCTCGTGGCTGCGTCGCGGCCGCTCTCCTCCCTGTCAGTATTAACGTAGATCCAGCGCAGCGCTCGGGCGAGCCGCACTCCTCCACTTACTTCAGTAAGGTAAAGTAATACCCGTGCGTGGGCTGTTTGAAACCAATGTTACTGTAATGTTCTTTACATTAAAAACACTCGACTAAAGTTTATTGTTATAAGTGACTTACTGAAAATAAACCTTTTATTTCTCTAGCATGGTGTTGTACCTCGTGCCTTTTATTTAAGGTGCTACTCAGGCTGGAAGCGGTACCTGTAAATCCCAAATTTGGTGGCTCCAGAGAACGAAAGCTTTAAATACCAACCATTCCTTTAGGCTTGTATCAGTTGTTTTTATTTTAGAATAAGTGAATACATTCGCGTCCTGCTTAGAAGACTTTATTAGCTAAGTAGAGCTGTTCAGACAGGTAGGGTACTTGTTGAAGAGGTGAACTTGACCTCGTCGCGCTGGGCCGGCTCCACGTAGTTGTCCCGCCGGGCCGCGTAGTCGCCCACGTTGGCGAGCCCGGGCACCACGCAGCAGCTCAGGGCGCTGCGGTAGATGCTCATGTCGTGCGCGTCGTACCACTCGTCCGTCTTCTCGTCGTAGCACTCCACGTTGAAGGTGGTGGTGAAGCCGTTGAAGCCCCCGACCACGAACAGGAGGTCGTCCACCACTTCAATGCCGAAGTTGCTGCGCGGGTTGAACATGGTGGGGATCGTGCGCCAAGTGTTGGCCACGGGGTTGTAGGCTTCGGCGCTCCGAAGTCGATTGGCTCCATCGAAGCCTCCTACCTGCGAACATCAAAGGAGCGGAGCTGCACGGGCCCTTCCAAGAAGCTGACTCCTCTTTCCCACATTTCAGGTTTTACCTTGTTTCACGGACTCAGTTTATGGCCAGGAGCAGCAACAGGGTCGCAAAGCCTCAACGTGCTGCCCCCCCTCCACCCTGCTCCCTTGTTGTGGAGCTGCCAGAAACATTCCTGCATTTAAAGGTCTCCCTTACCGCATACACGTGTTCTCCATAGGCAATGACGCCAATTCCGCTCCTCCTGCTCCTCATGGGCGCTATGAGGGTCCATTGGTTTGTTTTGGCGTCGTACACTTCGGCCGTGAACAGGCATTCGTTCCCGTTGAACCCACCGCATATATAAACCTGTGTAGAGACGAGACGTGGGTGCGTTTATGACCCCACCACATATATAAACCTGTTTAGAGATGAGATGTGGGTGCGTTTATGACCCCAGCACATATATAAACCTGTTTAGAGACCAGACGTGGGTGCGTTTATGACCCCACCACATATATAAACCTGTTTAGAGATTAGATGTGGGTGCGTTTATGACCCCACCACATATATAAACCTGTTTAGAGATGAGATGTGGGTGCGTCCCTGTGTGGGGACGAGACGTGGGTGCATTTATGACCCACCATATATATAAACCTGTTTAGAGACCAGACGTGGGTGCGTTTATGACCCCACCACATATATAAACCTGTTTAGAGACAAGATGTGGGTGTGTTTATGTCACCAGCCACTGATCGCACCTAGGAGAGCGCGGCCTGGCCCAGAACGTCCCTCTCTTTGGGGAGCAGACGTGCCAAATCGGGGTTTGTAGCAGTACAAGGGCAGTGAGTTATCCAGGGCAGCAGGGCTTGGGCCTGCCACATCCTGAAGTGCCAGAAGCTTCTAGAAACAATGCGTGACCTGGGGCCGGGAGGAGGATCCCGCAGCAAGTGAGCGGCTCTGGAGGAGCCTTCATGCTCCCGCCTGCCCCGCTCGTTGCCAGTCTCTGGTGGCACCTCGGAGAACCCGGTACCTGCACCAGGATCTCATGAGTGAGGTTTACATTAACGTTTCCCCCTTTATTTTAAACGATTTGCCACATTAAGGGGAGCGTTTGTTCCATTCCCAGCTCCACAGTCTAGTCCAGTTGGGTGGGAGCACGCGGCCCAGCCGGAGCTCTGTGAACGTCCCAACCGCGACGCGGGCCACGAGGAACGACAAGGCGCTTGCTCGCCCCAAAATGCTGCAAACCAGGCTTGGGTTTGGTTCCTCATCCCGCTCACAAGGAGGAAACGCTCCAACCACCACAGCCTGCAGCACCCCAGGCGCCTTTACCTTCTCGTAGAGCGTGGTCGCGCTCGCGTCGCTCCTCTGCTCGTGCATGGGCGCGATGAGCGTCCACTGGTTGGTCTCGGGCTCGTAGCGCTCGGCCGTGTTGAGGCGCACGTACCCGTCGAACCCCCCCATGGCGTAGATGAAGTTGTGGAGCACGGTGACGCTCACGTAGCAGCGCCGCGAGTGCATGGGCGCGACCTGGTGCCAGGTTTTCCTCAGCGGGTCAAACCGCTTGACGCTGTTGAAATAGTCCACGCTGTCGAAGCCGCCGATGATGTAGACGTAGCCTTTCAAGTAAGCGGCGCCGTGGTAGGCGCGAGGGCTCTCCTGCTGGCACGTGACGTTCACCCACTTGTCCGCGCGCGCGTCGTACGTCTCGATGGCGTTGGTCGGGCTGCCCCCGCTCCAGCCGCCGATAGCGAAGAGGATGGCGTAGGGCAGGCGAGGCCGCGTGAGCGGGTTCGTAAAGTCCGAGTTGGACGGGCCGTTCATGTTGAGGTCGTACATCGCCTTCAGCGCGTTGATGATGACGGGTTTGCACTCCTCGCTGTCCTTCACGTAGTCGTGCATTTTCACGTTGTTCATGAAGTATTCCGCGTGCATCAGTGCCAGGCGAACCTGGAAAAGGAAAGCAGGGGTTAGACTGTTAATGCTCTATGTCTGGGGATCCCTGTGGATGTGTCCAACCCTGGACGGGTTTGATTTAAGAGAGGTCTAAAGGAGGATTAAACGTGTCGCTTTTAGGCACTGCAGGTACGAGGTTGGATCATCTGAGTCACTGATGGAACCTACGACTCCTTCGGTGCCTTCCCGTGCACAGATGGAACCTGCTCTGGTGCCGGCTGCGATTTGCACAGGGCAGCTCATCCCTAGATGCTGCTCAACTCGTGTGCACGGAGATGCTCCTGCTGGGAGCCCTTTGGTGCTTCCCTCCTAAGCTCTAAACACAGGGAATACGCTTGGAGCGTAAACCCCAGCCCAGCAAGAGCTCAAGAGCTGGAGCCCTCCCTTCTCCGTGATGTGGGCGCTGTGGACTGTCCTTTCCTCCGTTTTCACACAAACAAAGCGGCTCTTGTCCCCGCTGCGCGGGGCCCTGCTCTCCAGTGCCACCAGGCACGAAGAGGTGACGCTGTGACACTGACCTTGCGCAGCAGGACCGAAATGTGCTGCTTCCTGTTCTGGGGATCGTGCGAAATCCATTTCACGATGGCCTCGAACACGGCGTCCTCCTGCCGCACGTTCAGTTCGTCTTTCTCAATGATGTCTTTGAGCTCATTGACCGAGAGCTCGAGGAACTCGGTGGACACCTTGGTCATCTCCTCGAAGTTATGCAGGATGAACATGTAGGCTGTTTGCCGCAGCTCGGGGCAGTGGTAGTAGTCCGTGAATCTGCAGATGCCAATGCAGTTTTCCAAGCACAGCTGAGATTTGAGGAACTCGCAGCACCCTCGGATGATGCCCATGATGTTGAACTGGTCCGCGGCGGCCAGCAAGCTCTCGACATTGTCAGCAGTGACCGGCACTGCCCTGGTGTAGGCGTACTCGATGATCAGCCGCATCATGTCGGGTGAAATGCCAGGGATGTTGTACACTCTCTTCTCCGTGTTATTCCAGCCACTGGTAAACAAAGCCCTGGAAAAATGAAGGGATAGTGAATCCGGGCTCCATCCGAGCTGCCCCTTTTGCGTGTTGCCCGCCCCGAACCAGCCCTGGGCACGAGCAGCAGCGCGTGGGGCCCTGCTGTGCATGGGGAAACACTTTGCAGCTCAGTTCTGGTACCAGGGCAGATACGAGGGTTGTGGACACTGCCGGCACAGGGACAAGGCCTGCAGGAAGGGCTTGGAGCCGCAGGCCCTGTCCCCTCTCTAGGCTCATTCCAAGCACTGACCTAAAGTAGGGGCTGCAGCTACATAGGATGTTCTTATGAGCATTGAATTCGAAACCATTGACTTTGATGATCACGTCACAGAGTTTTCCTTCCAGGCGGAGTTCATTGAAGACCGTGCAAGCCATCGCACTCATCTTCCTCTCCATGTGGGGCGGGGAATACCCCGCGGACGCCGAGGTGTCATCCATGCCTAAGCCCGAGACAGCAGCAGAAGCTTCTCTCTGAGGTGATACGGGGCTTTCTGCTTGGCCCCCGGCATCTTCTCTGGAGCTGCGTTTTGCCTGGTGACTCTGGAACAGCCCAATGATGAGATCACTGAAACGGGAGGCTCTGGAGAGG